TTTTTCAAAAAAAAACTGAGCTGCCAGTAAATGCGTCTGTTTCGTTTTCGATGCGCCACCCTGTATAATTTCCATGATCACTACTGTGACATAGGTATCAAGTTCATAGGCTTGATAAGAGAAACACAAAAAGCAAGGTAACGCCATTCTATATCCCATACGGCGATCGCCGCAAAATATGACTTCACCAACATATGACTTATGCTTATTGGAATTTTATAATACAAATGTGAGATTTATGGAGTAATACTCGAATATATGGAAATTTTAATATAAAAACTACAAAAGTAGCCATTTGACGTCATAAATACTATGAATAGTGAAATGTAAAAATTTAACAACAAAAAAAAATGTTTAATAACAAACGACTATCTAGATGTTAATCAAACGAACTAAAAATTCAAAATTAGTTCTTTCCGATTGGAAATATTTGAAGCATATGATAAAAGCGTGGTAGGACGTGTCTTCAGCAACATGGAGAAAGGGTATAACATGCTTTTATTCGAAAACAGATGAGAGCTTCATTGTAGTTTTAATATTTCCAACCAGAAAATATTTTTACATTTTCAGTTCGTTTTAACATCTAAGTAAAAGTCTGTTTTGAGAAATGTATTTTTCTCTTTCCTTATATACTGCATCACTTCTAAAATATCATTCATGTGGGTACCCAGGAACGAAGCTGTAAATAGTTTCCAGCAACTTCTCTTGACCACTTTTATTATAAAATTTAGCGATAGCTCTAGATGAAGTAGTTACCGAAATAAGGTCGGCGTCCTTTGTTATTGGCCCACCCGAAACATCAACAACACACAAGTGAGAAATAAAAGTATTGATCAGCATGAACCACTTCATGAGTTAAAAACTATAAAAAATATGTTTAGTCCGTAAGTATTCGGTGGAATAATTTCTAAAAAATAAAATGACCTGTAATGCTGGAACAGACGACAAATCTTCGAGAAGCGACAAAAATGCATTTGTAACAATAATTGCTCCTAGATGATTTTCCAGTGTTACCAAGATCGAACGATAGCAACCAATTTCGTGCACCGACACATTAGGTGCTAGGGAGATGGCAACTCAGAGGACATTATATTGTGACGTATACTGGAGGTCAAATGTGATATTTACTGTTATTTGCAACTGTTACAGAACAGAAGGAAAATTTTAACAAATATGAACTAGTTACAATTCGGCGGGATTGTTATGGAAATCAATACTAAATTAAAAGAAAAAATCACTCCTAGTTACAGGTTCTAAATGAGAATAATCTCAGCGAAGCGTAGTCAAGCAATTGCATGAATACAGAAAATTAAAAAACCATAAAAAGGTAGCACCCATGCGTGATCGCTCCAAATGGACCCCATTCCTTGTCCTGACCACCCTCGTAAACTTTTAGAGCTGAAAATGGAACGACAGGATAGAACTTAGTGGCTGATCCAACTTGCCCGTTTCCAGCTATATCATGTACTCTCACTTAGTTTTTAGGCTTGTCAGCATATCCAACTTACTGTGGATACCAGAAGACAAAGGACACAAGGAATTGAGAACTCATATCATTCTTGTGGTATGATTGCAAGAAAAAGACTCCAAGAATGCTCCTGTAGGAATGCGGATTTCGACCTAATATGGACCAGTGACATAATAATAATAATAATAATAATAATGTTTATTGTCACAAAATACAAGTAAATATCAAATATTGTGCACAATAAACATAAAGCACCCAAAAAAAGTTTGCACTTGTGTTTGGGTTTGTACAAAATAAAAACTAATAGTACAGTCAGTTTATTAAAAAAAAAAAGAAAAAACCCGTTAATACTGTATAATTTGGTGAATTATTATGGTAATGTCAGGAAAAATATCCAGACAATTAGAACTGAAGTAAAAGTATGGATGTTAGTGTAAGTAAAATATTATTGATTTTTATAATGATTTTTCAGATCTACAATTTCGTGGATGGAGTACCTTGGTTGTTGTAAAATCCATTTTTTTAGTTGTTTTTTAAATGATTTATTTGATTTAATTACTTTTAATGACTCTGGTATGAAGTTATAGAATTTTGGTCCCAAGAAAAACAGAGATCGTTGTGTAATGGTTTTTGATGTTTGTGGAATACACATTGAATTTTGATTGAATCTTGTTGGGTAGTTATGAATGGTACGATTAAAGTATTTTGAATATTTGAAATAATGTATTAGACCACAATAAAAATAAATTTGTCTGCAATCTAATAGCTGAGCCTCCACATATAGAAAATCACTTGAATAAGTAATCTCCCTATGGAGGATCAATTTTAGAATTAATTTTTGGATGACCTCAACCTTTTTGTAATTATTATTCATAACTCCCCCCCAAGCCAAAATTCCGTAAAGTAATAGAGGATAAACAAGAGCATAATATAGATTATATAGATATTTCTTATCTAGAATATCTCTGAAGTACCTGAATTTTGGAATAATACATCTCAGTCTCTTCACAAGGTACTCTGTATGGGTATCCCATTTTAAGTGTTTGTCCAAAATCACGCCTAAGTATTTTATTTTATCGGCTGACTGAATCTCTTTGAGACCACTGCTTGTATGAATTTCAAGTTTTTTAAATTGCGGTGAGAGCCTGTCGTTACAAGAAAATGCTATATAGTGTGTTTTGTTGTAATTAATTGTCAAAGTTCTTTCCGAAAAGAAATTTATAAATGTTTTGAAATCATGTTCGATTGTGATTTTTAGTGTATGCCACTGGTTGCTTTCATAGAGAATAGCTGTATCATCCGCAAAACCGATAACTTTACATGTACTATTTATTTTGAACAAATCGTTGATAAATAGATTAAATAAAATGGGTCCTAATACTGAGCCTTGAGGTACACCGTGTGATATAATATGGGGTTCACTGAATGTGTTATTAATTTTGACGCACTGTGTTCGATTTGACAAATAATTTTCTATAAGTTTGTATGTTATTCCCCGGAAACCTAAGTTTTCTAAAGTTTTTAAAAGCGATTCATGAGTAATAGAGTCGAATGCCTTTGCCAAGTCAACAAAAACACAAGCAGTTGGTTTGCCAATATCGAGATTCGTGTATATTTTATTTGTTAATTTTACAATAGCATCTTGAGCAGATTTGCCTTCTTGAAAACCATATTGCTCTTCCGCTATTAAGTTATATTTTTTTGCAAATTCGGTGAATCGTTTTTGTAACACTTTTTCAAATATTTTAGAAAAATTTGTTAAGATGGAAATTGGTCGATAGTTGATGGGTTTTTCTCTTTCTCCAGATTTAAATAATGGCTTTACCATAGCGTGTTTTAAACATTAAGGGAATATTCCTTTATTCATACAAGAATTTATCAAATATGATAGTATGCCGCAGATGTTGCAATTTATTCTTTTGAGAGTATACGCTGTTATATTATCTAGACCTGGAGATTTTCTTAATTTCAATTCATTGATTATTGTCTTTATTTCATGCGTATCGGTCGGTTCCAGATATAATGAGTTATATAATCTGGTCTTACTATAATTTAATTTCTCCGCGTTTTTTATGCTTTCTGACAACCTTTTCCCGATTTTTGAAAAATATTCACAAAATTCATTTGCTATATCTACATCATTACTCACTAGTTCACCATTTTCTTTTTTAATTGTACTAATTTTGTTGTTTTGTTTTTTGCCTTGTATTTTATTGATAAATTGCCACATTTTGGACGAACAATTTTGTAGATTATCAAACTCGTCTTGGAGATATTTAATTTTAGCCTCTTTAATTATTTTTGTCAGTCTGTTTCGATATAATTTAAATTCATTCAAAAGTTTAACATCATAAGGGTATTTTTTGGTTTCCTTATATAATTCTATTTTTTTGTTGATAGAGGTAATAATCCCTTTTGATATCCATGCTTGTCTTTTTATTTGTGTTCGTGGAATCTTTATTGTTTTGGTGCATTCAGCAATATGGCCTTCAATGCTAGATATAAAAAGGACAAATGCATTTTCAATATTAGGTTCGTTAATATATAATAATAATATGTATATTCTATCACTATTGTGTTAGATTTCTCACATGCAAACTGGGAGACTCTGTATTTGACCCTAGAAGCTAATATCACTTTACAAAGCTCAAGTGAAATCGATGAAGTTCATGACACGAAATGAATGAAATAATGAAACTAAGTGTGCCAGCATCTCGTTGAAAATAATCGTGTGAGTGTTGTAAACCGAGGCTCACCTTATAACACCCATTCCTCCTTACATTGTTCAGTGGAAAACGTTGAGAAATTTTTTGTTGCTCGTACCCAATCATTTTCGCTATACGTTGATGCACTGAAAAAGTGTTTGTTATTTCAAAGCAACTGACGTCATTGAGCATGTAGAAAGTTTCGTACAGTGAAAAACGTGTTGGATTTGCGAATGCTCAAGATTGCATCTGCTTTCCTTTTTGGTCTTTTCTCACGATCTGCTTCGTGGTACCAGAAGACGTTCGCGAAATTTTGTGAAAGCGATCATCGTATCCATTCGACTGCAGCCTATCTCAATTTCAAACATTACAGACTCTCACACAGTATACCTTAGCAGACTTTTGAGCAGTGATTAATGTAATTGCTATTTAAGATTAACAGCTCCTGTTGTAACTTGTGAAACTCATTTTGCGGCTATCTGAATCTAAAGCCTATTTTCAACCCATAAGGGAGTATAACCGCATTTTAAAAAAAAGATTACCACTCTTAGTGATCTCGAACTAACGTTAACAACAGGTTAATAATGTATGTGGATGCAATAAGCAAACCCACTTTCGTAGTTCCTACGCATATGAACTTTTGTGCATGATATTTAACCTAGCACCTTACATTACGTTATTCTGACTATTTTTATAACCTAGTTTTCCTTTATTTCTTACGCATACGACTTCTTTTAGTCATTAACCTTGTTTCCTGGAGATGTCGTAATGCGGTACAAACTTCGCTTTCGTTTGGACGCATATCTTGCATAACCAATAAAATAAGATGTATTTTAACATTCGTTTATTTAAAAATACTGTCTGGTAAAAACAAGAAGACATAGTACGTTTTCGTCACAAGTCAAAATAAATAAACATAAATATTTTTGAATAAATTATACAGTCGGATGTACCAAGTTGGCTACGGTCACAGATCCCAAACCGTGACTGATTCAATTTGTCATGGTCAGTAAAGTAGGGCCATTAGCACATTTATATAAGAACAGGCGTAGATACAATTAAATTTTTCTGGCTCTCATATTTGGGAAATTAAAGAAAGCATTGTATTACAAAGGGGCAAATTGGAATACCATTTCAAATATACCGTTGCTTTGTTTTTCTGGCTTACTTTTCCCAGGTTTACATCGCATTGATTTAACAACTAAAATCATTATGCGTATGATAATACCATAGTTTTCTAGAACAGCAAAGCATATAGAGGTGCGGGTTTCCAGATTGAAAAGCTAAAGCAATTTGAGGAGTAAGATGGGATTTGTTGATGGACGTATGTATGAGTTGATGAGCAGAACTCATAATGAAGTAGGAAGTTAATAAATGGCCGCTAGGGAATAAAGCTCCACTATAAGGAAATAGCTTATAAGAGATGTAGAAAATACTACTTATGTTGCAACTATAAGAATATCATAAAGTAATAGGAAGAATTACAGCCTCTCATTGAGAAAGATAGTATATATACATAGTCTTGTAGATCTAGAAAGATGAGAGACCTCTTTTGAAGTCAGAGCTTCTTCAGTAGAATTGCAGAAAATAAAAAAGATGACTCAGCAGCTATGCTTGCTAGTAGTTTTCCAAGCCTTTTATGTTTGAATCACATCACGAATAAAGATGCAATGAACAGGCAAGTCAATAAAAATTGTAGACTAGGAATGTCAAAGTTAAAGATGAAGCCGAACGTGAGTGTTGTGGAACGGAGTAGTTAGATACAACTTTGAAATAGGCTTGAATGGCATGTGTAGGCAGTTCAAAAACGTTTGTGGTTGACAGGTGAGTGAGTTGATGAGAATTTGATTATGTGGTATTCTGGACCGTAGCGGTGAGTAAGTCATAAATATAACTACATGTGACCACAAAATTGGTCTAAGGACGTTTGTACAATATGAGGTTAATCTCGAACATTACAACCTCCATCACCTCTGAGAGATTGTCTGCTCATAAAGTCTTGGCTCTTGACTCACTTGGGTGCGTATGCTTGGTATGCCAGGTTTTGGGCTGGTGCTTCACTGAGTGACCTGAAATCAAGACATTGGTAGTCATACAAAATGGATTTGTGTAGGTTTTGTATTTCAGTTTTTGACAGATAGATGTAGACCCATAGAAGGTTTGTCTGATATAGATTTTTTAAGCGTTCAGAACATGATATTTAAATTGATTTCAATTGAATGGTTGCACATCATTGTCTACCTTTATAACAGATTGGCTATTTTTCTAAGGACCTGCTGAAGAAGTTATGCATGCTAATATTGCTCGGACGTGAATTGCTTCATGCGATGATTTGAGAAACTAATCAGAGTTACTACTATTATCTATCCATTACCATTATTATGTATCCACTGTATGGATTAAAAGATATTTAATCAGAATGAGTAGGATATTAAATGAAAACTCTATACTGAATCAACATCCATGTTATACTAGACACCAAATGACAATTTTGTACTTTGAAAAATATCATCATGGTACCCGGAACGTCAGTGGACATTCAATCTACATCCGTAGTCAGTGTACAATATAGACAGATCAGCAAACAGTAACACTTTTAAATTTACGTGAGAGGAGAAATACAATATTTTCACGGAAGGGCTTACCTCTTATCCCAACCGCCTCCGCTGGACTGCCATCCGCCACCGCCGCCACCGCCACCGCCTCCGCTGCTCTGCCAGCCGCCTCCATGCCCGCTACTACCATGACCGCCGCCACCTTGACCCTTGGATGCGAACAACTTCTTGATGGCGATGATTCCTGAGATCAGCAGGGCAATCTTGGCTGTGATCAGTGCTTTGCCTGCCAGCAGGAAGAGACCGGCGATTGCTATGGGGATCAAGGCGGCCATTTTCGCTGCAACAGCCATCATCATGCCGCCCATCATGTTCTTCATTTTGCCCCCCTTGCCGCCACCGCCACCGCCGCCGCCTCCGCCACCGCCTCCCTTGCGTCCTGAAATGAAAATCAACGTGACTGAGCGTCTCACACTTCGGGCTTCAGGGCTAATCAAGCGATTTTATCGAGCTTTCCTTCCCTAGAGGGGCTCAAATAAAGTTATTGGGGTAATTGGATGGGCAATTGTATGGGTCTATAACTTTTGGACGTGCAAGTGGAAAGCAAATTCGCATACCTATGTTTAATACCTTCTTTTTCTTGGACCAGGTTTGCATGTGTATGATAATGTCAAGTATTTATAAACCTTTTCGAGAATGTTCGACTTTTTGTTCAGTGTCTAGATGAACACCGGTCTATTACGTATCCACACGTGTCTATGTCTATGACTTGACTAACTGATTTTCTGATTATTAACTTGTTATTTTCGAGTAATGTATCATAAAAACTTTCTTACCTGAGCTGGTATAAACTTTATACTAATATACTATTTAAGTAAAAAAGAACGAAAATTAAGGCTATCAATTCATAGGACTTACTTTAGCTTAATGAGAATACGCAATTTCAAACCTAGGACATTCTGAAATTTTAGAAGGTCTAAAAATTAATAGCAAGATACCAGAATGCATTAATACAGATCATCGTAATAAACTGACCAATGGCCACAGATACATGAGATTTCAAAGAAGCGATACACAAACTTGATGCTGGTGACGTGAACGAAATAGCTTGTTTCCTCAAATGGAAGAGGTCTTTCTCAACTATTAAGAGTGATACTATTTTTCTGTGAATTTCTAAGGATTTAATATGTTGGGATATCATCAAAAATTATATGCTAAAAGGTCATTTTGCAATTTTTGAGTTACTTTGTAGTTTCTAGAAGCGATTAACATCAGATTCATGTTTACCGACCGCTTGGATGTTCAGATTATTTCAGTGGGGCCAAAGTATAGTGTCGGGGTAAGTTCTAAGAAGAGATATTTGATTACAAATGAAGATGTAACTTCTGTTACCTGTTCCCACGAAATCTTCTGCTGTAATTTTGGGTAGTGCAATTTCCACAGTTCTGCTTCCAATAAAGTTGCTGACTTTATCCATTAGCAGTCCGTCGAGCGCATCATCCTTAGCATCTGATGACCTGTTTAAAAAACACACTACACTTAACAGAATATTCAAATTACGTAAACATTTTTTTTGGAGTAATCAGATTATATTTAATATGAATGTTCCTTATAATCTAGAGCTTCTGCGAACATTCTAGTGTTGTGAACTAGCCAGTCAACTACGCGGATAACCTTGGTGATAAGCTCCATAACGTCTGGTCCCTATCAAGATTGATTTTATAGATAGATATATATGTATATAAGTTTTTTGATAACAATTTTCCGAATTCTATCCGTGACATAACACTACTTTTTCGATCTTACGTTTCTACTCCGGTCAAAAAAGTGAACTATTTATTCAGAAATTGAGAATTTAAATCATTGTGTAGTATGGTTGTGCCCAAAAGAGGTATACGGAAATCTAATATTTGATCCGTATAATCCAATGACTATTGATCTAAAAATCTTTTGACCGGTTAGGATTCCGAGACCATTTTTAGACAAGTCATTATGTAGTAGGTATTCTTTTTATCTACTTAACATAAATGTAGCAAATGTCGGTGGAAATAAAATATGTGACGTGTGATGATGAGTTAAAGTATTCTAATAGCTTTATGAATGACAATTATAATTTTTAAAACATATCATTTGTTTGATTGGATGGTTGACGTCAAATATGTTTTCATATAAAGTCAAAATCCAAATATCCACCTACCTTGGAAGGGTATTGTCAAGCTGCTCTTCTGTTATCGGCAGTCCATCCGTGACAGCACTTGGAGCTTTGGCGAGCACAACTCCATCGGCAACCGTAAGTTTTTCCATCCGAGACAGTCTATCCAAAAATGTGATGGCTTTTTTCTTGAGACACGGTGAGAATCCATCGGCTTTGGCGCAATCATCGTAAATCTTCAACGCTATCCTAACACCCGAAGTATCGAAAGAGTCCTGTGCTATGACACTGACCGCGAGTAACGAGAACACAACCACGTGATACCCCCTCATCGTGATGGCACTACAGGCACACTGATGCGCCATCCAATGTCAGGGTTCCGGTTTTATACCATGTCTTCGCCGGCACCCGGTGACCTTTCCTCATCTTTCTTTTCCTAGCCGTGACCTCCAGATGGGGGGAAGCGCTGACATATTTGCTGTATTCATTGGCTGACAGTGACCCACAAAGGTTCATCTCGCTTGGCATTGGGCCCCCCACTCCGCAATCTGGCAGGTTTCTCGTCGACAGTGAATCTGTGAAACCGAAAATCGTACGCCGGCGATAAGCCCGCAATCGGCACGATCTTCTGTTTACAGGCGAAAGAAAATGCAAGTGGTCAAGTCGGTGCAAAATGTGACTTGGCAAAGAACACCACCGTTGCGGAACACGTATAAGCAACAGTGCAAGTATTGGAATACAGGAGAAGTCACGAACAGGGTTACTGATGTTGTGGTTGATAGTGATTTTTTGTGTTAATTCCAGACATCTACTGCACGATAACCCAATTGGATGAAATAGTGCTAAATTTTAATTTTTTGATATAAATTGAGTTGAAAAAGCATAGAAGAAATTGATCTTTACTGATGTTCCGCCACCACGGTGTTTCCAGAGTATATTAAATACTATGGGGCAAAAATACAACGGCTTACTCTTTGGGCTCATTTTGCAATTTGACAGCTTTTGAGAGGCTAGCGAGCAAACGTTTTGACTGCATCAACGTTTTATCTCGACATTCTCTATCATGGCTTTACCAGCAAAAACTATACGCAGGCTCCAATGTCTGTAACAGAAGTATTGATCATTACTGCCTTCATCTAACAATTCCAGAGTTCTTTCACATTAAGCAACATTCAGTAAATGTACCATTTCTCAAAGCTTCGGCTTCGTTTAGCGAAGTAGTCTGAGCTATTGGTTTTTGATACACCAATTATCTTGTATACACCAAACTATCACTTGCAAAGTACATCACTATTACGGAGCAAGTATAAATAGTAGCTCAACAACTTCTAAGACGTTGTCAACCCATAGGAATACTTGAAACATGCGGATAGTGTCTACTGTATAGTATTTTCTAGTGAGAATTTTACACAGGAATTTCCTAGAACTTGGTGCGGAAGACCAAGCCTATCTTGTCCTTTGCCGGTTTTTGAAAAACTAATTAGTCTCGTAAATACAAGGTATACATAACTATTCATATAGCCAACGCCATACAAAGTTTTCTCTATAAACACGGTTCAAAATAACTACCTTCAGGTATAACGCAATCTCCTCGCCATTGACTACTAAACTCTTTGAAACATGACTCTATTTAAAGTGATCTGTTTATAAGTTCGTGGTACAAAACTTGGAACTGAATTTTTGAACTAGATAACCTTAACCAATCTAGCTGAAACTCTATTTACACGTTTGGTTGGCGTGACAATAGAATACAAAATGAATTAACAACCGCCTTTTTGAATTCGATAGGCTGGATGCTATAAAATCGCCATTTAACATTTTCATAGTAACACCTAGCTTCTTGGCTTCTTAATTGCGATTCATAGTTTCCATGGTAACCCCTATGACATGGATATCAAGCGAAAGAACTTGACGAGAAAACCCCAATAAGCAATGTGACGTCATTCTGTATCCAATATGGTAGCCGCTACAAAATGGGGATTTACTTTTTTCTTAGACATCCTTATGATATGAGTATCAAACATGAAAGCGGTGGATGAGACAAAAGCAATAAGCAAAGTGACGACATTCTAAATTCAATATGGCGCATGCCGCAAAATGTCAATTTACGTTTTTCATAGTCACTGTATCAAAAGAAAGGGCTTGAAGTACAGTGAGATCATTCTAAATCCAATATGTCGCACGCCTCAAGCTAGCATTTATAATTACCAAAGTCACCACTATCGTATAGGAATCAAATTAAAGGGCTTGATGAGAAAAATAAAACCAGCAACGTGACGTCATTTTGAATCTTATATGGCGGCAGCCGCTGAATGACGATTGATAATACTTATGGTCACCGCTATGATGTGGGTATCAAAAGAAAGGGCTTATTGGGGGGCACAATAAGCAAACAACATCATTTTAAATTCCTTATGACAATCGTAGATAAATATCGATTTATGATTACCTATATAGTTTGTATTTATCGAAATTTTGTGGCACAAGTCATATAAAAAGATTTGTCGAGTCCCATTAATAAGATGAATGAAGGTTACATACAGATTATCGGAATAGTTATTTGACATTATAAATACTGAAGATTAAAATAAAAATTATATTTTTAGAAACAGGATTTTATTTAGCTGATAATAAAATGAACCAAAAATTCAAATATATTTTTTTTCGATTCCAAATATTCAAGCAATGATGAAGCTCCTTCCAATCAAATTTTCAAATAACATCGTGTTACGTTTTGATAGCGGCATGGAAGGACGGCTTTGATTTGAAAATTTGAGATGAGGGAGCTTCATTATCATTTAAATATTTCCAATCGTGAACAAATGTTTTTAAACTTTTGGTTTATTTTATTATCGGCTAAATAAAATCTTGATTTCGAAAACGAGAGTGCAGAACAACTGATTGCAACTGAACGTGACTCTATCAACTTTTGATTAACTATGATGAAGATTGATAGAAAAGTCGTTCCCCGGGCCATTCTCAGGTGAAAAAATGTAAACATTTCACTGTCATCTCCATGTACCATGTTGTGCTAGTTCAGTAGATGATATGAAACACTTTGGCACATATCACTTTGCTAAATATGGTTTGTTGCATTTACAGACTTATTAACGTCAAAACGGGCGTCGAAAGCTGTTAGACATGAAAATATAACTTTTTCTACTGGATATATATATATATATATATATATATATATATATATATCTTTTCAGGAACTGACCCATGAGTAGCGTGTAAATTCAAATCCTTCACTAACTGGCTGCCTTTTTGAAAACAGCTGCTCCGTATATTAAAGTTGCGTTGGCACCAGCAATTGTCACAAGAATAGTCCTATTTACCAATGTTTTTGTTGATGAAAAAAATCATAGATATACAGGTATATTGAAAACTATTCGGAACGGTCCTAAAATCTGCTGACCCAGCAGCATTATTGTAAATGCTAAATGGTACCGTGCAAATCCAGCAAAAGGAACCCATCGCTCTCAAAAAGAGATAAGCGAACATGAGGCCTGCATTTTGTATTAAAGATGTCACATGCACTCATTAGACTGTTACGATTTAGAAAATGGATAGAGTCGCAGCATGTGGTAACGAATTTGCAAAAGCTATCATTGTTCTGAGCACGTGAAAGTGATACTGATCTCTAACAGTAGGTGTGAGAATTTGCACGTAAAAGGGTAATTTTAACGCCAACGTCTACTGGCGAGGAACCATTGTAATCGCGAGGAACTTCGAAAATGTGATATTATATTTTTTAGATGATATAATGAAAAACGATGTCACTCATTTCCAGTCGGTCTGTCGAGCTGTAGGTTTGTCGGTCTGGCGGTCTATCGGAGTCTCCGAGTAGGGCGCAAATGCTTATTTTCCATTCGTGCATTGTACATATATAATCATGGCCTAAATTATTGTGCGAACGCAAATGAAAAAATGAGTTTTTGTAGCTTACCCAAGCGATATATTGCATAATTCTTCATTTAATATGGGAATTAGGGACATATCTTACACAAACCGCATAATTTTTCCATAGTTTGCGTGATATTTTAGGAGAAATCAACCATTTTCATTAGATCCATTACTTGAAAGTCGCCTTCCAATGGTTGAGTTTGTGTTCCACGCACTGATTTGGGCCTCAGCCTATTACTCGTGAAATTGGGCCTTAGTGGCGAATTCGTATTGTTGGTCTTTAAAGCAGGTTCTCTAACAAATCTACATTTTAACGGTTCTAACATGGAGCTTATTTAGGAGCAGTTTTTTTTGTAGTAGAAAGACGAAATAAGTTATGTAATTACTTTTATAGCAAAGTACAAATTCAAGGGGAAGCAGCCAAGCGTAAACGAAGTCAGGCCAGAAAGAATGTAATTCTTTGTGTGAGTCAAGCTTTCAAAAATGTTTATTCCCTTCATCAGGACAGAAACGTAGGCATATTAAATTTGCTACAAATGACTTGAGAAATATGACAACAGGAAAAAAAT